ATCGGTACATATATACATGAATGTGTGCCTATACACAATATATGCGGCTTAAATTTAACAAAATAAAAATAAATGTATCAGCATCACATACTTTTTGACTCAGAAATTTAACAGAATAAATTATACTACACTCACTAAATCAAAATTAATTCAGCAATTTTATTTCGAAATTCTTAATTCTCAATCGAAAATAAAAGAGATTTTTGATATTTTCATTTTAATATTGTGAATTTCGAAATATTAACTTTTGCAAATTCTCATTTCTTATTAGACAACATACACATGTTTTTGTTTAAACTGCTATAGTACACACAAGTAATATACACATTCATGTATACTCGTAATATCGTAATATACACATGTTTTATTTAAAAAGGAATCTCTTCAAATAAAATCAAATAAAACAAAATTGAGAGAAAGAGAGCGAGAGAGTTAAGATAAATAACGGATAGCGAGGATGAGAAAAATAAGTGAGTGAAATGAAATTGACCGAAAAAATTAAATTGAGAAAAATATTTTTGAAGAGTTTTTATAAAATAAAACGAGAGAAATATAGAGTTTGAATTTTTGAATTGAAAAATGAGAGAAGAGAAAGGGATTTTTTTTTATTATTGTTAAATAAAATTTAGTAGGTATTTTTTATTTTATTGTTTTTCATTTGATTTTTAGCATTTTTCTTATTTTTATAGTGAGAAATGTGAAAAAACATTTTCGCAATTTCTTTGAGTATAATTTTTTTTTTGCTTTGATTTGATTTCTCTCGGCAAGGATTCTATTGTATCTGTATACATATTTTTTAACACTTTAATATTGGAAAAAAAACCAGATGATAACCTTAAATAGCAATAATAAATGAAAGAATTTTTAAAATAAAAAATTAAAAAAAGGAAGAAAAAAAATTTTTCTTATTGCTCTTTATATTTTTTGTTGTTATTTACAATTTTTCTTTTCTTTTTATTCCATGATGTGATGAGAGATGCTAAAATATTTAATGTGCACATATTGGTACAAACACAACAGAAGGATATTTTGATATTGAATGAGAAAAAAATTATTTTATATACATAACGCACATATATATATGCCATCCCGTTAGTTTAGATTTTTGTTGTGTGTATGTATGTATACATTTGCACATTATTTTATAAAAGATATTCGAAAAATATTTTAAGCGAAATATACTTAGTATAGACAAAAAAAAAACAACAAAATTGGAAAAGAAAAAAATATTTTCACAATTTTATTCAGAAACGGAAAAAAATTTTTTTTTCTTTACTCAGTTTTCGAGACGCGTTCAAACCGTTCAGACATGTTTAAAAGAGGATGATTTTTATTCGGAATTCGAGAAAAAAAAAATTGAAAATATTTTTATTGAATATTGAATTTTTCGTGTAAAAAACTTTTCAATTAAATTTTTTTGCAAAAATATTTAATAATAAAATCAAAATTACTATTTAATAAATTATAAAATTTTATATTGTGTGTAAATTAAGAATTTTCAAAGATATTCAAAAAGGCAGGAAAAAAAATACATATTTTTTTGGTAAAAATAAGAGAAGCAAAATATTTCGGTATTTAAAAATTATAAATATAAAATTTTACTGATATAAAACAAATGAAATACATAAAAAAAAATCAATTGTTTGAAATGTCAAATTTAATTTAAAATAATTTTACTTGTAAATTTTGATATAAAAAAATAGTGAAGAAGAAAATATTTGTAACAAGATGCTTTCGAAAAATTAATTAAAAAAAATTCACAATAGTGAAAATTAAGTAGCAAGAAAAGTAAACAAAAAATAATGTATATTAAATTAAAATTTTTAATTAAAATTTAATTTTGATAAGTAAATAAATAAATTAATTGAGGACGTAAAATTTCAAAATCTAAAAAAATTTAGAAAAGAAAATACTTTTCTTGAATGTTTTCAATAAGAAATTTGAATGAATTTTAATATTAAAATTTCCAACTTTATATCTACTTCTTTAATTATTATGAAAATTGCAAAATTGCAATGTTTATTATTGTAGATATTTAAATATTATTTCAATATTCAAATTTAATATTTTAAGTTTAAAACTTTTCTTCTTATTTTAATTATAATACAGATAAAATTATTTTGTTATTTTAAGTGTTATATTCTATGCATTGTTCTACAAAATTCATAATTAATTATTTATTAAATTTAAATTGGATTTAAGAAAAAAATAATTTCACCTACTTAGTGAATATGTGATTTTTTTTTTTGATTTCTATACCCTTTTGTTCATTTCCTCAAAAAAAATAAAAAATAAAACAATTTTCATTTAAACTTATTATTTTTTTCTGCCCTATGTCTGTAGACACACATAGACTAATTATCTACTATTTGTACTCATATAAAATTCTATTTCATTTTTATAAATGTTGTTTTTTGTATTAAAAATTTCAACTAAAAATTTAGTAGCTGCAATATACAATATACTTTTATGTAGAATATTTTCGTATACATTATTATAAACACTCATTATGTATATACAAAAAATATATATTATTATGTATATAAAAATATTATATTTGTTATATAATATTATTTATATATAAATGAAAGTTTTGTCCAATTTAATTTTTTGGTTCCACCATATTATATATAAAAGTTTTAAATTAAAAAATTTTTTACCACAGAATTGAATTGAATGAAAATTAAAGCGAATAAAATAAATACATATATCTGTATATATATATATTTCAATTCAATTTCATTTATTATATTTGTTGTCCTTATATATACTATATTATAATTATATATTTATTTATGTATGTATATTATATAGTTCTATAACCTACCATCATCATCGTACCACTATCATCACCATATCATCACTATATTCATATACATACATATATACTTACGTTCTCCTATGCCACGTTCTCATTCTCAAATGAAAGGAAAATATAAAAATAAAAATGTAATGGAAAAAAATTTATGAATTGAAATTTTTATATAATTTATTATACTCGTACATATATTAAATATACCAATATATATGTATGTATAAAATATGGTAGAGCTATGCATATTAGAGTAGAAATTTTTTTATATAAAAATATAATACACATATATGTATATTATATCTAGACAAAAACAATATAAAATATCAACTAAAGCTATAAAATAACAAAATAAATAAGAAGAAAAAGAAGGAAAAGAAGTATAGAAAAGAAGAAGAAAAAATTAAAATTAATTTTTTTATTTTGCATTTTTTTCCCTCTAGAAAATACATACATACATATGTACATAAATAACAATAATATTATATAAATATACATGTATGTATTGGAATGTGAATATACACTTGACTTTAAACCAACCAACGTTTTTAATGAAAACTTTAAAAAAATACTGAAATACTGAAAAAGGAAAAAAAAAAAACAAATTGCGAAAAATTGCGAAAATATATATTTCAATATATATAAATACATTATATACATAAAAAAATTAAAATAAAAAATAAACCAAATAAAAAAAATTCTACCCATTAGAAGCAAAAGTTTTTCCAAAATTGAGAAAAAAAAAACTTTATTTTTAAACCGCATGCATTTTTTTTTTTCATTTTGTGCAACTATTATCATCAGAATAATAAAATAAAATATTAACAAAAAAATACACCAAAAAAAAATTTAGGGAAAAAAGGACATTATTTTTTCTTGTTGTTTTTATTTTCTCATAAATTGCACATAATATGCAGAAAGTTATAATTGCACATAAAACATATAAGTATAATATGCATTTATAATATACACACACTCGCGTATAATGTTTTTTGTACTATTAATAATGTGAATATATACGATTAAAATGCTAAAACTATATTGTATACAGTGATGATTAAAATTATGAAAAATAAAAACCAAAAAAAAAAAAAACAAAAGTTTTTTTGAAATGTTCGCCTAATTACAAATAAAAAACTAAAAGAAGAAAAAGAGAAAAATAACAGAAAACCAAAAATTTGGAACAAAGAAAAATCCGGGTTATCGTGAATTTCGTATATTCCGTATTCCAAATTATTTGTGTTATTCATTCATATTATAATTATTCTACCCTCCTCCATCTCTTTCACTCTCATAAAAATTTTCCTTTCGATTCATCTATAAATTCTACAATAAATTAAAGAACAAAACCATGCATAATATTATGTGCATATGCAAGTGCACATTATATGTATAAGAACACACACAAATGGAAATCACAAAACAGAACAATAAATATATATAATAATTAATTTTCTTAAAATTTCTTAATTATTTATATTTATAAAAAACCATTCGTTTACATAATATTTTCTTCTTAACTTATAATTGAAAATACATAAATTTATGGTATTGTGAATATTGTGTGAACGTAATAGAATATGACGATAAAAAATAAATTATTGTGAACTAAACAAGATTTTCATAATAATTACCTACATAATAATGTACATTAAAAATTGGTATATACATATGTATTTTGAGAACCTGTTGTTTTCATAAATTCAAAAATTGAAATTATATAACAAGAATTATATTAAATGCCAATTGTACTAAAATTAAAAGAAAAATTTTTTTAAATTTTAATAATTAAAATAATGATTGTGAACAAATTATTATAGGCAAAAGCAAACAAACATAAATATTATTTAGTATTATTAAGTTATTAAAGTAATTTTTGGAAAAAAAATTTAAATAACAATAATATAAAACAATAAAAACCAACCACAGAAAAAATTTTTTGATTATTAATGTTACATAATATTTAAAAATAATTGAATCAAATGAAAAAGAAAAATTATCATATAAAAATTAAAAAAGAATTAAATTAAAAATATAAATTGAAAATTGAAAAATAATAACAACAAATGAAAAATTTCAACAATAAACAGATAGTGAAAAAAATTACTAAAGTTTTCAATTTTTCTGAGTGTCTAATTTTTTTTTCTTAAATTCTTGTTTATCAAAGAATTTCCAAGTCAATGTTTTTAAATATTTCAAAAAATATTTTGTTAAAAAATACAATTTTCTAAAATAAAGTAAAAAAATTGTGTTTCAATTAAATAAATTAAGAAATATTAAAAAAATTAACGAAAATCAAAAAAAAAAAAATTTGAATTATTTTCAATTCTCAACTAAAAGTGAAATTAAGAGTTCTCAACTATAAACTGTGAAATTTCATAAGAAAAAAAATTCTATTATTTAAACTTTTTTAATAAATCTATACAAATTCCTTCACATCATCGATTAGCTGTGGTGAATAATTTTAAAAAAGGTTCGTTTTATTTATTTTAATTATAACGATAATATCATTTTACTTAATATAATATTCTCCACTCTGATTACAATAGTAGTAATTCAATAGATTTAAGCAACTTTTTAAGCAATTTTAACAAAAATATAAAACATCTAAATCTGAATTTTATTTAAATTGAAATTTTATAATAATTTTTTAGCCAATTGTCTAGGCGATCTTAGTATTCTTATAGCTGAAATGCTATTTTTTTTTCAAGAATCTTTAATTATTAAGAATATGCCTTATATAATACTTTACCTAATATACCTTATATATACTTTACATATACAGTATATACCTTATATATACTTTACATAAATATTATAAGAAATTAATATTTTCTTTAGAAGTCATTAAAAATAGAATAGAAAATAGAATAAACAAGGTGTTATAAAAATTTATAAATTATTCTAGATGTATTCTAGATGGTTGATTAAGTCTGTGAAATTAACAGCCGGTGTTGGCTATATTTATTCAAAATCATTTTTAATATTGTTAACGCCATCTATGGGTGATATGAAAAATAACAAATTTTTAATTATTGAATGTAATTTAATTTTTTGTATAATTTTTTTAACAAAAAATCGAGTTAAAAAAAGTTCTTCAGTATCTTACATACATAGAACATATTATGTAACACTTGATAATTGAGGACAATTTTGGATTTACGGGTTTGTTGTGTTTTGTATAACAACTTAATCGTGAGTAATTGTATTAGTGCTTTACAAGAGAACTGAAATCCAATATTTATAGAATCAAATGTAAAAAATAAGTTCTCAATGACCACATCTCAATGACAGTGTTACAAATTGAGTGTTTTTATTATATTCACTTAAGTATTCAAATTTTAAATTATTGCTCACTTTTAATTATGGTGCACCATTTCGTATATACTTTAATGTAATCTTAATGTAAATAATTTTTACAATTACTTATACGATTTAGTGACGATTTTAATTAACAATGCTTAAGTTTATATTTCAGTATATGAAGATTACACGTTCATTTCATTGAAAACTTCAATTCTATTAATTAAAAATCCTGTTAAAAGTAAATGTATAATCTTATTAATTTTATAGAATGGCTATATTATGCGTAGCTATTTAATACATACATATATACATTAATATTACATTAACTACATTACATCAATGATTTTTTTGTTTTTATTATTAAAAACCTGTTGAATATAATTTTGAGATTAAAATAATATTAACTGTAGGTTAATTTAGATTCTTACCGTTAATTATTTTAAAGTGATATTATTTTAGATTTCAAATTCAGAATTCAATTATTCCAATGTATAAAATCATTACTTTTCATAATATTATCTATATTCTAGCATGTTTTCTCATTCCAATAAGAATTTTCTTTAAATACCTTAAAATACTTTAATCCTATTATAAAATAATCACATTGTGGAAAATACAAGTAGGTTCAATGCTTACTTAAAATTCTCTTTAATACTCAAATTTAATACTCAAATGCATACTTTTTGAAATAATGCTGACCATAATTAAAGTAGTATGCGGAAAGTGATAAGTGTATGCCAACTATTCATTTAAGTGTTATAAATTTTTGGCATTTCGTTGTAAAGAATTACGATAATTAATTAATTAAGTAATCGATTTAATAAAAAAATTTCATATATCTATACTTTTGTTGATTATTGCATAAACATAATATTATGAAAGTTATTAAATGTATTGAAGTTATTCAATGTGATACAACTTTGCCCCGCATTTTTGTGTTGTATATGTATATATTTAAATTAAAATAAAATTTCTTTCATAATCCTTGCAAGGTATGATATGTACACATACTTTAGAATTTATTTATGGTGATAAAATGAATTTGATATTTTTTTTTAATTGATTTATTCATTTCCAGTTTTAAATCAATATTACATTTTTTAAATATCAGATGAATTTTGACATATTGAGAATAAAAAATTATGTATGTACATTTTATTGATTTTGTATAAAAATCAAGGACTTCAATCTTTTTTTAAAATTAATGTTCTGTTTTTTCTCCTTCCTGTCATAAATTTTTTTTTATTTTGTTTCATTTTCTTTTTATTTAAATATTTTCAATATTTTTATGGTGTATATTAAAAGCAGCGTAATTTAAAAAGGTCCATCCCTTCTACAGAATCTACCATCTCTTAACAGAAGAAATTTAGTAAAAAGTTTTGAAAATTTTAATGTAGTTTTTATGAAAGTGATGCTGTTTTGAAGTGTGTAGAGAATGAGATTTGGGGCTTTAGATTTGTGGTTGTAAAAAAATTTTGCGAACGGTGCGATTTCTGATCGAAATTTTATTTTAATATAATTTAAAAAATGTGTTATTACTATACACAACAATTGTTTGAATCAAGTTTTGGGGTTTCAACTTTTAATATAAATTTGAGCTTTTAATAATGTCTAGAGCTGCGTAACACAGTTAAATTTATTGCCTTAATTAACTTTAATTACAAACAATATTAATAAAAATTCGGTTTAAATAATTTTTAATTTTTAAATTTATATTAATTTCTAATTTTAATAATAACGACAGTCCATAGTAATTATGCATAGTCCATAGTAATTATGAAATCATAAAATAATATTTATCAATAACTACGTTATTGTTATTATGTTTTTTTGTGTTACATTTAAAATTAGAGACAAGATCCCAATTATGTTCGAATTTGTTTTGAGAATAAGAACAATATATTACTTCAAATTTGATATTTCAGTCTTACACAGATTAAATGCTGCCGAAAATAATATTGTTTTGCTCATTTTAATAGCATTTGAATGAGATGAATTTGAGCAGTTATTATATATTATTAGAAAATATTTTTATTATTATATAGTATACTTGTACTTTAAATAGTTCCAGATATTAAATTGTTAGTATGTATACTTAATTAAGTCTAAAATCTGTATTTTTGTTAAAATTTTTAATGGAAATGGAAATGATAATTGACGCAGCAGGGTTTCGAAAATCTTTACTCATAATTAATTACCGTTATTTAACAATTCACATGTAACTTCAATAGTTTATTTTATGCTATGAAATTCTGTAATTTTACTTGTACAATATTTTCAACATGCTGAAAAAATTTGACGAATTGCATTTAATAAAAAAAATTAATTCATTAAAATTTAAATTAATTCATTTAAAAATATATGTCCTAGTTTATTTATGAGTTTAAAATAAATATTAGGAATATGTATTCGCTAAATTATAGAATGTTAAAAATTTAATGTCAAACATGTTGGTTACATTTTGCTGTCTTCCGAAATTTCAATATTCGACACACACTGTTATATTATTCAAATGGGTTTTGTTGTTATATAAATTTTTTCTCTTCTCACCGAAAATATTATCATTATTTAACAACATTTTTTTAATTAAGCAAGAGAGTATGGTTTGTAACGCGAACAAAATATGTAATGCTTAAAATGCTCAAAATTATTTAATGTAAAAATTATCGTTTTGAATCTTCTGTTATTGTATATAAATGAGAGAATAAAACAACCCGAGAGACTTTGTTCCTCATTTTAAGAAATTTTTTTCTCCATTATTATTTCTATTGACATTAAAAGTAAGTTTATTTTTTCGTTTCGTATTTGATTTAAAAAATTTTAAAACTATTATATTATACTTATACACTGAAAAAATGATGGGTAATCACTGCAATATCTTTTTGACTAATAACACTGATTTATGAGTGAGTTTGTTACTGAAACAATGTGAAATATCAAATTTATACGTAAATTTTATTCATTTAAAATTATTTAAGGTTGTTTAATGTGTAACTGGATTACAATTTTAGTATAAACTGGTACCATGACATTATATATAAGTAGTTGGACTTGCATAAACATTAGAACCAAACGATAGAAAAGTTTCCAATTCAAATTAAATTTTTTTTAATATATTAAATTTTATGAATACTTATATTTTTCAAAAATTTATAAATATATTTATTGCATGACCTTTATGATGTAATTTTAAAATATAATGTTATATTAACTTAAAATTTATTTGACCTTGAACTGAATTGAAACTGTAATAAAAGGGGCAAAAATGAGAATTTCCGAGAATTATATTATAATTATTGTAATTAATTTAGATTTTACATTTTCATGTTCTCTATTATATATTTGAGACCTAATGGCGTTAATATGAACGAATGGATTCCGAAATTTTATGAATACTTTAAATATTCATTGTAATTGTTATAATAAATATTGAATTTCTGGTATATTTTATTCAGAATAATTATATAAAAAATTTTATATTCCTTAAATACCATGTTTTCAGTTCGACACTTCCTCATACATATTATATTGAAATTTATTTTTTAATTTAAAATTCCTTTTAAAATTTTAATTAACAAAATTACAACTTAATAAAAAATGTAACCGTAAATATTTACAGTTACATTGAGCTGAGATTTAAGTTTAGAATAAATGGATTGAAATTTTTAAAAAATTTTGTATTTAAATGAAATTTATTTATTTATAAAATAAAAATAAATCAATAATTACTGTAATTTATATATTATATGTGTATATAGTTACGTAACATAATAAAATACATCATTATTTTGTATAAATGTTCTCTTTATTTGTATTTGTTAAAAAAAAATAAAATTTAAAGGAAAAGTGGGAAAAAAACAAAATTGAGAGAATGAAGAATATAAAAAATAAAATTGAATAAATTTGTAAAATAAATTCTATGGTTAAAAAAATTAAATTAAAAAAGAGAAAAAAATATGCTGCTGCTTTTTTTTTTTGGATTGGGAATACTTTAAGTTTTAAATAATTATTCTTATATAAAAATAATAATGAAATATAAAGTAAAATTAAAATACATAAATAAATAAAAAAAAAAAATTTATTCAAGGACTTCTTTTCTCAAGGATTCTTTACTCTTTCACTTGGGTTTTTTTTTCGTATTTAATTTTTACATTTCTTTTTATTTTT